AACAACAAGAATCTGGCGGGAAGCCTAAAAAGCTGCCCAATCCTTTCAGGCAGGGTGCCAACCCTTGTACAAGGCAACTTTCCTGCATTTATCGTACTTTCACCAGGCAGTTGTACGAACTTTGTACCCGGGTACGACTGTCCGCTGCTTTTACACATCCCAGGCCCCTTGCGCAATTTCGTAGGGTCAAAGGTTGCCTGTATATTGCATGTAAAATGTGTAGTCTGAATGCAGGCATGGAAAAATGTTGCCTTTTAGGTTTTATGTGATTTTGTACTGGATTATCTATGTACGTAGTCTGATGAGGGCCTAATACTGTCGCGCCGTGGTCCGCGCCAGCTGTTCTCCCCATACCTTACACCAGATTTAGCGCTAAATTTGTTTATGCTTGTGGCCCTATGTATTTAGAAGCATACTGACTCACTGTTAGGTAGACTCGAGTATCAGTAGTCTGATGATTGCCTAACGGCATGAAACTCAAGAGTTACAACCAACCTGAACGTCCTCCGCTGAGTCTGCTATGATTTGAAAACTCCGTATGGCGGAACCCAGATGCGCATACAGTTTACGTAAGACTTTCCGTAGATCGACTACATTTTTTTAACTAACGTAACTACGTTATGCGCAACCTCTCTAATAAAGTACAGTGAGTGCTGGAAAATACTTCGACAACTGTGGACAGTCGGTTATAGGCGATTCACACGACAGCCACTTGCATGTTTTACGGCGAGTGATTTACGAGAAAAAGTGACTGTGTGGATTCACATGGCTGCACTCAACAGCGGGCACGTTTGCATTTTTGAATGATTCACCCACCAGTTGCCATGAGTATTTCAAATTTTCATAACACGTGTACAATAATTATCACTGTGAAAAGAGCCGCGTAAAAAATCAAGTCTTGTTTTGCGCTTTTTGCTGTAAATATAGTTTACTGCTTGCTGCAGAGGGGCTGAGGGCTAGACCCACAGGACACTTCTGATCATAACTCACTAGACCTAGTCTTTCTTAAACTTGCATTCAGTTTCGGCGGGGACAATACGACCAACACAATCTTTAACTATCTTTGACGCCATCACAATATCAGATGCAAACACGGCCTAACGGACAAAGTCAAACAAGCCGTGACCTGATGTTGACATAGCCTGGTCAGTATGGAGCTTGCATGTCGAGTCTGCAGTTAAGGAATTCATACCTCAAAAGTTGAAGCGAAATAACCTGAACAACAAACTGTGGTATAATGCGGGAAATTCAATAAATTAAAAAAATTTTATTGGGTGGTCATCCCGTTTGACTGTGCGAAGTAAAATTAAAACAACCAAATGGTTGGGTTGATCTGCACTGTGCAACCGATTCTCTCACCTTTCTTCCTCCAGCTATGCCTGTGACACCCTTTGTGAATCTGCGAAACACTAGTGGCAGGCCACGCGAAAATGAGAATGCGCGCAGCCAAGTTTAGGCCATCATCTCCTTCATCCATCATCCCGGCGGTAACTCCGCCCGTTCAATATCCAACACCAGTTCCCAGGAAAGAATAAGGCACGAGATTTCAAGTTCAAGGGCAAAGCTAAAGCCAATGAATGGCACTGATTTTTGGAATTGTCGAGTAGAACCAAAATACTAGTAAATAATCGACGGTCAGACTCGACACACACGTGACACAGTTTGTTCGCGCTCGTGTGTCGCGCTTCGCATTTGCTGCAGCTTTTGTAGCTCCGGACCTCCATCTGCAACGCGCCCATGATGAGTCTCGCGCGCGCGACAGGCTAGCCGCTTGCGACAAAAGTTGTCTTTTTTTACGAATTCTGTGACGTCATGTTTTGGACCCAACAGTCATTCGCATAATTATTATTATAATACATGTGTATGGTCTCATGTGATACAGGATGTGTTGACCTACATTTTACAGAATATTCACAGTATACAGTCATGTACATGTAGGTAGGCAGAGCATGCAGCCTATTATTGTAAGAGTTACTTTGTGTAGTTCCTGCCAAGTAATGTCCAGTTCATTCTGTCTTGCGCTATTCTGTCTTATGCGTCCTGTCGGCTCTTGTCCATTTTGTCTCTTTCTTCTTCACATACTAGTATTAGGCTTCACACTCACAGTGCTGGAGAAACCAGTTTGAAGTGGAAACTCAGGATTTCTTCGCTCCTGTACACTCCTACATGTATGTGTTTTGATATGCACCGGGTACACACTGCAACTAGTTTCTCCATCAATATGCTGGTACATGGTGGGCCGGGGGACACTGATCGGCTATTCCACAGCTATCGCCAGCCTCTCTAAACCATCACTTTGCCCCCCCCCCCCATTCCCGTGTACATGTACATGTACATAACACAATCATGTAGGTATAGGAAATACCCATACCCATGTAAAGTGTTGCTCTGGACAACACAACACTCTACCGACAAGTCTCTATTACTAGCATGCATCACGAATATCGAGTTCAAGTTTGCGTACACTTTCCAGTCGAAACAGGAATTGCGGATTCGGATCAGGAGAGTCATAAATTTACAAGTACGTAGTTTTGTGCACAAGGGCCGGGGCACATGGATGCGGCTAATGTGATTCCTCCAGTGGTTGTGAGACTCATCCCCCACCCCACCGTTAATTCGCCGCTTCTGTCGCTAGGTTTACTGGATGTTATAGCGACCGTGGTGAGTTAGCTTCGTGAGCGGACACGATACTCGATAGTTTATTCTTTTTATCAAGAGTCCATAACCCAAGAGTATGCAACTGTGATTATGCATTTATGGGTGCATGCGTGGCGCGCTGCCTTCATTACGTAACTTGCCTTCATCACGCTCTGAAAGCATGCATTCAAACTCTCAATTTCTCGCACGAACCCATCCTTTTTTGCTCGATTCGTTCCAGTACCTACACAATCTCTGAATTCTGGCGCGTGAACTCCAGTTCCGTACGAAAGTTCATTTCAAACTAGAGGGAAAGTGCGGTGTTTGATTTTCCGCAGCGCGCAGACTGCAGCTGAATGATGTAATGAAGGCAGCGCGCTAGGGCTTGGCGGATAATGCCGGCAGAATTTTCGGCAGAAAACGCCTGTTTGGGGGGTCGAGCATATTTCGGCAGAACGGGGGCTGAAAAAGCATTCTCTGCCATGTCAAATGACAGTTACCACGGAATTGGCGTGCGACGTTCTGCTTTTGCAGCAGATTTGCCGCGTTCTTCGACACGCAGTCCATCCATCCACTAAATGTGGCCGGAACTGTTACTTTGCGGAAGGTAGCAGCCTTGAATGGCAGGCCAGTGGCAGAAGTCTACGAGTCGTAGATCTACATACCGGTAATATGGCCCAGTTGCAGCGATTTTCGACCTTCGGTGAAAAAGCCCGCTGTGTGAAAAGATTCAAATCAAATCATCTTTTGCTGCGCAAGCCGGGCCGCGGACGGGTATTCCGTGGATCACGACACCAGTGAAGTCAGACTTGAAAATGTTCGCAAAACAAGCATTTTGTAACGAAGGTCGAAAATCGCTGCAATTGGGCCATATTATGTAGTGTGACTAGCCTTCATCTGAAGTGCGCCTGCGCCGGCCACATGTGTTCTTTTTCATGCCTTGTCTAGTATTTCACATGACTCATCTTTTTAGATCCTGAACCCAATTATGTGTGCCAAGTGTATTTTTACATAACTGGATTTCAGCAGAAATTTCAGCAGAAAATGCACTTTCATGAGCAGAATATTGAGCAGACCGAAAAGCAGAATGAGGGATTTCGGCGAGCATTATCCGCCTAGCCCTACAGCGCGCCGCGCAGTTGGCCCATAGAAAAAAGATCACAGTTGCATACTCTTGGGTTATGGACTCTTGTTTTTATTCTATTGACCGTTGTGACGTGACACACTTAAGCCAGTGAAGGACGGGCAGGCCAGAACGGGATCAGTCCAAGCACGAAGTGTCAAAATAGGGAATAACGCTTGAATGTACAGTTGGTTGCAGATTAATAGCTAGATTTCGGTGAGTCGTTTGTGAAGGTGGAAGTGAGCAACAAGATGAACTCCAGCAGAACGAGAGAACAGCACATACAATGTACTATCATGTATAACATAAATTCTGGAAAAGAAATACTAAACCTACTATACTGAGAGAGAAAATGATAACGGCCAATGTGGTGACGTCACGTGTATAGTCTCGAAGCTGCCAACTCTGTGTGCACAATTAACATGAAAACTTATTATCACAGAGTGTAGTTCACTCAGTCAAACATCTGTTGTCTCTTGCTCTATATTTGTCACGTGGTCTGCATGCTACAACAGTGCAAGCGAAGAGAGTTGCGATTACGTGACACTGACTGCGAGAATCTCTTGCCTTATGAGTGAGGAATAGAATAGCTACAGACTGTAATGTATACAATGGAAGCGGTCCTCACCAAGAAAACACAATCCGTTGCTACTCCGAGTTTCTTGAGTTTTGTGTTGTGTTTTCTTGGTGAGGACCGCTTCCATTGTGTACTAGCTCCAGTGCACCCCGGGGGCTGTTGAGCCCTCTTTGCGGTGGACGGGACCACCTCCCCACTGTAGTGTATACTGTTTGTTTTGTTTTTTGTTTACTAAGGCCACAGCTTCCAATCATGACATGCAAAGCAGCGGTGCAGCATCGCAGGCATGAATCGTGGACGTGGTGACGGGATCTGATGTGCTCCACCGACCTAGGGTCTCGGCTTCACTGCACAGCCGTATATCTGTATTAGTAGCCACTCACAGTATGAACTACTGCATACAAAGTCACTGTGTTTATAGTGTACTGAAGTAGTGTTGATGTGAGAACCGACAAGTGTATGGCAGATCATGAGATACACGTCTCACTACTACTAATGCAGCGGCACATGCTGTTTGATACGTGCGGTCAGCTGT